ATTGACGTCATTTTCAATCCAAGCAGTGTTTTGTTGGCAATCTGCTGTAACACTTGCTTTAAATTGTTCATAGTTACTTCGTTTTCTGTTTTTAGTGGAAATTAATGGATTTTGTCCACTAAATCGCTTATTAAAAATAAAATAACAATAATAATTATAATAATAATAATTAAAACTACTTTGTCGGGAGGTTAAATTAATGCAATAAACTTGGTTGTTATTATACGTATTTATTGGTCATTTTTAAGATTATTATTGATCAGAATCGTGTTCTTAAGCTGTTTTTTAGATCATTAATATACACTAACCAGAAACTTTATTAGGTACACCTGTCCAACTGCTCCAATCCAATCAGCCAATCACATGGCTGAAACTCAATGCATTTAGGCATGTAGACATGGTCAAAACGATCTGCTGCAGCAAACCGAGCATCAGAATGAAGAAGAACGCAGATTTAAGTGACTTTGAATGTGGCATGGTTGTTTGATGCCAGACAGGCTGGTCTGAGTATTTTAGAACCTATTGATCTACTGGGAAATTTACGCACAACCATCTCTAGGGTTTACAGAGAATGGTCTGAAAAAGAGAAAATATCCAGAGAGCGGCAGTTCTGTGGAAACAAATGCCTTGTTGATATCAGAGAAGAAAGACCAGACTGGTTCCAACTGATAGAAAGACAACAGTAACTCAAATAACCACTCTTTATAACCAAGGTATGCAGAAGAGCATCTCTGAACACACAACACGTCCAACCTTAATTCAGATGGGCTGCAGCAGCAGAAGACCACATCTGGTGCCAATCCTGTCAGCTAACAACAGAAAACTGAGGCTACAACTGGCACAGGCTCACCAAAAATTAGACAATAGAAGATTAGAAAAACGTTGCCTGGTTTGATGAGTCTCGATTTCATAATTAAAGCATGATACCATCTTACCTTGTATCAACTGTTCAGGCTGCTGGTGGTGGTATAATGGTGTGGGGGATGTTTTCTTGGCACACTTTGAGCCCATTCGTACAAACTAAGCATCGTGTCAATGACAGCCTACCTGAGTATTGTTATCATTAGTATTGTTATCCGAGTATGAGTATTGTACCTGAGAGTTGCTGACCATGTCCATCCCTTTATGATTACAGTATAGTCATCTTCTGATGGCTACCTCCAGCAGTATAACGCGCCATGTCATAAAGCGTGAATCATCTTAGACTGATTTTTTGAACATGACAATGAGTTCACTTTACTCAAATGGCCTCCACAGTCACTAGATCTCAATCCAATAGAGCACCTTTGGGATGTGGTGGAATGGGACATTGGCATTATGAATGTGCAGCCAACAAATCTGCTTTAGCTGTGTGATGCTATCATGTCAATATGGACCAAAATCTCGTAATATTTCCAGTTCTTAATATTTTCCAGTTCCAGTTCTCTTTAATATTTCCTTGTTGAATCTATGCCACAATCGATTAAGGCAGTTTTGAAGGCAAAAGAGGGTTCAACCCGATACTTGTAAGGTTTACCTAATAAAGTGGCCGGTGAGTGTAGGTCTTACTAACATTTATGGAAAATATTAATATATTGAAACATTTTTAAAGAAAATTGCTGCAAATTATTACCAATATAGTCCACATAAACAACATATTTTAATCTGTTCATTGAAGTAATTACTGGACATACAGAGCAGTAAAATGTCACTGAAATTTGCTAAAATCCGGTAACCCTAAAAAGAACATTTAAAAACTCCTCATATTTACTTCACCTTCATTCATTTTAAATCATTGCAAATTAGGTCTAATTTAGTTCTATAAACTTACAATAATGAAATAAACAGACTTAATCATTAAATCTTCTTCTTAGATAATAAAACATCTGATACTACATCTTTGGTGTTAAATTCCATGACACTGTTTACCTTATAAAAGAATGTTATATCATGATCTACATACAGCACAATGTTGATTTGTGCATTAAATAAGTCAAGTTTTTCTTTATTTCAGTTTATTGTAACCTTTCATTTATTGACATCTATTATAAAAAGGCCTCTGGTCCTCTACAGCATTACAGCATTAGCCGTTAGCTTTTTAAGCTGAGGTTGCGAGCAATAATGAGCTAAACCAAAATAAGTTTGTATATTTTTTTTATTTCACATAATGGAATGTTTTTAGTTTTACTTAACCTCGTGGTTTTCTTTTAAATCTCCTCCTCCTACAGTGGGTCTTCTCTTTATCATTGTTTTGGTTCTGCGGAGAAGAAGAGATAATGACAGTGAACTGTCCCTGGCCCGGACGCCCCTCCTGCGCAAAGATCGGCCTCCGGGACGCTTCTACGGGATCCCCTGTGACGCAGAGCCGGTTTATGCTGGCTGGTGACATAACTGTGTACAATGAAGCAATACCAGCTGCACATTTTTGGTCCGAACGTTAGATCTTTTATTGAACCGTCCTAAGCTTTATGTTGGTACGATGCTATTAAATATTTAATGAATGAAGACGCACTTTTCTGCATTCCAGTTTTAAAGCGTTTACTACTGGCCATAATGTGGAGCTAAAAGTCCTGATGGTGATATGTCTGACTGCTTTTTGTGTTTGGATAGTATGATAAACCACTCAGTATTTTTGTGGGGTGGGGGTGGGGGGATGGGGGAGGGTCTTTTTCTTTTTGCATGGGATATTAGGTTAAGCACTGAAATTTTTGGTCATTATTTGGTCATTTTTGGACATTATGCTTATTTTGTGCACTTGTGGTACCACTACATTTGACTACCTGGGCTCCTCGAGGTACATTGTATTATATTTGCAGTTCTTGTATTTAATATGACGTCACACATGACTTTTAAAACATTTTTGAACAATTTCCAGGGTCAAATACTGGAATAAATGGCTTTGCACAACTTTGAAATAAAGGTGTAGCGTCTCTGTGAGAGTTTGTTGGGTGATTCTTTCAGCTTCCAGTGTGTAGGCTGATATCAGGCATACTGGGCCACTTTTTTGTTAATCTGGGTTGATTTTTATATTTTTGTGTTAAATTGATGAATAAAATATAATTGTTCAGACCCTACAGGTTTTAAAAAATTAGCTGCTCCACATTTTTTCAGATTGCACTATTTAGGTAAAATGGGCCGGCTGGTCAGAAAAACTGGGCCAGTCAAACTGCAAAGTCAAATAGAAACATACATTTAATTTTTTTTATTTTCATAATGTAACTGAACATTGTACTTTCAATTGCAATAAAACTTCTCTTTGAATTGGATGAAATAAAATAAAACATTAATTTTAAACCATTTTGTCAATAAAACCTACATTTCATGAACAAAATGCACCAATAACAATTTGTTTAATGGCAACAAATGACTGCAAAAAAAAAAAAAAAAAACAATCAATGGATTTTATCAATAGAAAAAAATAGCAAAGATCGAGATCGATGTAAAGTTTTTTTTAAAGCATTAAAACATGTTTTTTGAAGATAAAGCCATAGTCATCAAAATGCCATTCTGTTCTTTATTTGTGTTTACACATACACCGTAGAGCACAGATAAACAGACATATTTGGAAGGTAAAATGTGAAAAGGGCATGCCACAAATGCTAAAACACAAGATATACAAATATAAATAATTTTTAAAAGGAAAAACTAGCAGAATTTCTGATTAAACTTAACTCAGAAGTGGCCCATTTTAACTGAAATAACGGCTCATTTTATACACATTCAGGTAAATTGGGCCAGCAACTAAAAATGATTTACGTATAAAAATCTAGTTTATTTAATTTTATGTCAGAGGGGCCATCAAGACATGAGTTATAAATAATTCATTTAAAATGTGCTTTCATTTGTTTTCTTTTTGGCTTAGCCCCTTAATTAATTAGTGGGCGCCACAGCGAAATGAACCGCCAACTTATCCAGCATATATTTAACGCAGCAGATGCCCTTCTCATTCTCTCATTCACACAAATATACTGCATACAATTTAGCTTACCCAATTCACCTATACCACATGTCTTTAGACTTGCGGGGGAAACCAGAGCAGTTGCGAACACGGGGAGAGCATGCAAACTCCACACAAAAATGCCAACTGACCTAGCCGAGGCTTAAACCAGGGAGCTTTTTGCTGTGAGGCAATCGTGCTACGGCCACGGCGCCACCACGTTAGCAACACCCCAGTTAGCAACATTAGACCAATAAAATGATTTGCTAAATATTGAGTACTGATATGGAAAAAGTTGCAGCTATATGTTCACTTTCAAAGAAAAATAAGACACTTCAACCTTAAAAAGCACATTTTATCTGATAAACCAATTTGTCACTATACCTTCGTTTTCTGAACTATCATGTGAAATATATAACAATATCATCAATTCAGGGGGCATAATGGTTAGCACTGACGATTTACATGAAGAATGCTGTGGTTCAAGCCTCGGCTGGGTCAGTAGGCATTTCTGTGTGGAGTTTGCATGTTCTCCCCCGTGTTGGCGTGGGTTTCCTCCAGGTGCTCCAGTTTCCCCCCACAGTCCAAATACATGTGCTATAGGTGAATTGGATAAGCTAAATTGTGTGTGTGAACGAGTGTATGGATGTTTCCCAGAGATGGCTGTACTGGATAAGTTGGTGGTTCATTTCGCTGTGGCGACCCCTGATCAACAAAGCGACTAAGGCAAAAAGGAAATGAATGAATGAATTTTATGATTCACCTAAAAGTTCATGCATTTCTATGCAAATATAGTTACAGATGTTTGGAGATTTTTACCTTCATAATTTGATTGTTATTTAGAAGATATTTCTTTTTTTTTGATTAAATAAAGCCAGAAATTCTTTGAAGCACGTAGACTATATTCATCATAGCTTATTTATCTAGATCTGCTGTGTGGTATGATAAAAAGCGAGCGAAATCATATCTTTAATTTTGCTTTTTTAAAACAACATTTATTTTCTGGGAAACGTTTTCTACAGTGTATAACTGCAACGCGTTTTTTTTTTTTGTCCAAACCGGCCACTGTAGTTGATACGTCAGTGGAGTTTAAGATGGCGGCCACCTTGACGAGAGGACTGTCAGGTATGAAATGTGCACATTTAACATTTGGATGATCAGAAATACTTTATTGACATAAAATTGATTGCGATCTTAATGTTGATGCACATTAAAATACAAAAATAAAGCGGTCTATGTTTACAACTTGTCAATATAGTAACGTTACTTGATTTTTGTAATGGAAAGATTAAGTGTTTCCCTTCATGCTGTATAAATGTATCATTTATTTAAAACTGTGCTTTATTATTTTGCATTTGTTTTCTAATTATTTTATATTTTGCGGAAATTTTTGTATTGTGTTATTGCATCGATCCCTTACGAAAATTAATCATTTATCATAACGTTAGTAACCATGTTTTTTGCGTGTTGATTTCCACCAATATGGAACAAAATACTATAGTAATTCAAAGTAAAGTACAGTTAAGTGTATTATACTGTATATATTATAGTATTTACACTTCACCTCTATTGAATATTTAAGTGAACTGATAAACTGTAAGTAATACTGTTGTTCTTTAGTTTTTACCACAGTAAACTGTGGTGTTTTGTAGTTTAATATTCAGTATATTTATAGAAAACTACAGTGTAGGGTCATTTGTTTATTTATTTGTCCTAGTTGCCGTGTTACTATATAATTACTACAGCAGACTATTTCAAGCATTTTACTATAGTATGGTTCAAAAACACCCTATTTACTACAATTTATTTTTATGTGGGGACAGTTTTACTACAAATGCTATGCTTTAAGTATGGTAAGTATAGCAAACCCATGGTTAACTTGTGTTTACTAGCTACACTAGCGATTTTGTTGTTGTTAATTTTCGTTTAGTTTTTAATTAGACACTCATTGTTATTTATGTGTCTGTAATGTGTAAACTACACTAGTTTGTCATCTTCTGTTCAGGTTTGCTGAGACCACTGTCAGTTTTCGGCAGGGAATGTCTCTCTTCTGCTGTCAGACTCGCACAGAGCCCTCGCTTCTCGACTGTTTTGCCGAATCATGCTTTCAGAACACTGACCCCGGCTCACACCACTGCTCCTGTGCAGCTGACTGGACTGCTCAGTCGGTAAGACACTGCCTGTTTATAGTTTAAAAACATACATTTTCTTACGTCCAGATGGTACCATGAAGTCCTGTTCAAATGATAACTATAACCACAATAAATGAGTTAAAAAAATCCTTTCACTTCCAAAGTGAAAATTGGGAAATCGACATCACTATTGAAAGCCCCTATCAGTGTAAGGTTTTTAATGAACGTTAGCCTTAAAGGAACACTACAAGTTTTTAAAAATAGGCTCCCCCTAAAATAAACAGTTCAGCATTTTTTAATACATTCATCTGATATTTGAGTCTGGTGAGAGCACGTTTAGTTTAGCTTAGCATAGATTATTAAATCAGATTAGACCATTAGCATTTCGGCGAAATACTCAAGGAACTTTGCTGTTGTACCATGGCTGCAGCTCATGCAATCATATTATGCAGTGCCTGAAAATAGTCCCCAGCTGTAACTTTTTTTTTTACAAGTCAAATCAGAAACATTTGTTTGGAAGTCTGTCATGTATTATATCTACAAACTGTATTGTACATAAACCATAGAAACATTTACACATTTTGAATATTATACAATAATTTTACTGATATTAAAATAAAAACTAGGTGAGGTACATAGCCGTGGTACGAGTGGTGTAACGGATCACAAATCCAAATCACATTATGGTTGTTTAGTCATGTACCAGACCATTTTTTGGATCAGCCAAAAAGGGGAGGAGACAAAAGTAATTTGCTTTCCATTTATTACATAAGCAGTACTGCAAGAAAGTTTTCATTTTAACAAACAGAACTTATAACCTGTCATTTTATTAAAAATAAATTAAAGAAATAATCAGCTGAATAAAAATAAAAAGTTAAATATTCTTACTAGTTCTTAATAGTTCTTACTACTGTTGCTGATAACGCTTAATGTATTAAGCGAACATTATAATTTGTACAACAATATTTATTTGTAGTCATTTTCAATTAATGATTCAGTTATTCACTCATAAAACTTCATGTTTCAATGCTCGATGAGTCATTTTTGAAGTATTGTTCAGTAGCATGTTTTTAATTACTGGCCACCTATTGGTTAAATAATGTAACTGCAGCCTACAACTATTATTTTTGAGCATCAAGTTAAATGCACATGACGGTGATTATCGGCGATATCTTTACCATAAACATCAGTGGTTTCATCTAAACTATAATCTGTTATACCAGTGTTATTTGACTGTTTGTGAACTAAAGACCGAATCTCTTTCTTGATTTCTGCGTTTTTCAAACACGGATTTGAATTCAGCGTTTGGAAGGATTAATGATTGTATGCAAATCACCATCGTTTATAATTTATGTTGTGTGAGTGTTGAGATCTCGATCTTTCAATGATTAATCGCGCAGCTTACACTGAATGCATTAATGTAGGTTAAACAAGTCATGACTGTAAACACCTTTAATAACCTAAGAAACCCACCACATCACGAATAACCCAAAACAACTTCTTCTGTAATCAATATATTTTACAGAAAAAGCCTAAATGTTTCTATAAATGTGATTTGAATGACGTGAGAGGTGATCTCTCTGCGATCATTATATATTTAGTAAAGTAAAAAAAGGTATTAATCCACAGGTCACGTGTGTTCCAAACTGTGGGTTGTAATCTGTACGAATCACGGATTAACCGTGATCTGTTACACCCCTACTTTGTACGGCAGCAAAGTTTCTTTCTCATTACACCAGAATGAGGGTAGAGTTCCTAGCCATATCGACCTAGAAAAGTGGCAACATTTGAGTTTTTGTTGGTCTTAGTAGATTATTTAACTACAGAAGGGTGAAGAAAAAAAAATATTAAAACACTTTTTTAAAAATCTTTTTGGGGCGAGATGCTAATGGTTTAATCTAATTTAATAATTTATGCTAAGCTAACTAAAATTGCTCCCGCTAGATATGGAGATCGACTGAATGGATTTTAAAAAATGTAAAACAAGATGTAAAATGGTAAAAAAAAGTTGTAAAATGAGTCGATTTTCAAAAGTTCATTCAAAATGATCTGTATGCTTTAAAACAGGGACAAAATTTTGCACTTGGATGATAATAAGCTTTCAGAACTCAAGGTTTTTGCTTCTGCCTATATGGATGAGTGATTTTAATAACATCACTCTGTACTTATCACTCTGTACTTCATGTTCTCGCTAGATTTTCAGTTCAATCAAATGCTCTTTAGTATCTGAAGCGTCTTGCAGCCTACAGTGTAGTGATGAAGCTTTTTCTAAGATTGGTCCCTTGATGTTCACACAATTGTTATCTGTTTCTATCTACATGGCGAATGACCCTTATGGTGCACTACATAGTAGTGATGTGAAGAAACAATGCTTTTTAAAAGCTTTAAACAATTCATTTGCAAAACGATTGACTGTTTCAAAGCTTTTGAAACACCATGTGCTGGGGACACCTGCTGGTCAGAACTGTGTAAATGCAACAAAAACTTTACAACCTGTTATAACTTGTTTTTTTTCAACAGAAAAAGCAAACTCATAAAGGTTTGAAAACGCTTCAGTGGCAACTATTTCCATGGCCTGAGCATCAACAAACTGACAATATTGTTTGAATATAAAAATGTATTTGATATAAAATCCACGTTAAGCGTAAAAGTGTGTATATCTA